GGTCTGGAACCAAGATGTTGCACGTTTACTGGTGTGTTTGGGGTCGTTGTCTTGTTGGAACACCCATTTCAAGGGCATTTCCTCTTCAGCATAAGGCAGCATGACCTCTTCAAGTATTCTGATGTATTCAAACTGATCCATGATCCCTGGTGTGCGATAAATAGGCCCAACACCGTAGTATGAGAAACATCCCCATATCATGATGCTTGCGCAACCATGCTTCACTGTCTTCACAGTGTACTGTGGCTTGAATTCAGTGTTTGGGGGTCGTCTGACAAACTGTCTCCGGCCACTAGACCCAAAAAGAACAATCTTACTTTCATCAGTCCACAAAATGTTGTGCCATTTCTCTTTAGGCCAGTCAATGTGCTCTTTGGCAAAAACCTCTTCAGCACGTCTTTTTTTCAACAGTGGGACTTTGCAGGGCTTTCTTGCAGATAGCTTGGCTTCACATAGGCGTCTTCTAATTGTAACAGTACTCACAGGTAACTTTAGACCTTCTTTGATCTTCCTGGAGCTGATTGTTGGCTGAGTCCTTGCCATTTTGGCTATTCTTCTATCCATTCGAATGGTAGTTTTTCGCTTTCTTCCACGTTCTTCAGGTTTTGGTTGCCTATCATTTTCTGCACTTTATATGTTTTCCCCTCTCCAATCAACTTTTTAATCAAGGTACGCTGTTCTGAACAATGTCTGGAATGATCCATTTTCCTCAGAATTTCAGGGAGTATATGTTTTATAGCAAAAAGTCAAAAATGTTTAGAGCTTTTATAGGATAGGTTAGGTGTTAAGTTTCACAGGCAGGAAAGCATGACAGTATGGGGTCAAACTCGAAATCCAGTAGATGAAACAGCAGGCAAGGAAGTGTAATCTGTGGTCAAGTCAATGTCTGTAGCCAGAGGCATCAGATTTTAAGTGGAGAGTGAATAATGGTGAAGGTGGTCACAGTGTAGAGGTAGCAAGAAACTGGCATCTGGCAAACAAGAACTGCAGATGCATGGCTTAATATGGCCATAGATGGATCAAAGTGTGGCCAGTTCAGTAGGGACCGGCCAGATTTTGATCCATTTGAAGCCATTGCAGTTGACAAGACTTCCATTCAACCTCCATGCCAGATAAAAGCTGCTCAATCCGCGACTGCACCCAGTGGCTGCAGTGCTGATCTGTGTATTCTGACAGTAGGGGGACTCTTCCTGCTGTCAGAAAACAATAGTGCAGTGGATTCCTCTATCTATCTTGAATATGTGGAAAGGGAAATCTGTTCAGTTGTCTTTTTTTTGTTCAGCCCACTGGGTGAATGAAAATAACCAAATCATGTATGGCCAGCTTAAAATAGGAAGTTCAAGGAAGGAGCAAGAAGTTCAGAGTTCAGCAGAAAACTGGTTATCAAGAAGACTAATCAACAGATCAGGCAAGTAGATATTTAAAGATTCAGGTGTTTCAGCAGGAAAAGCCACTGCTACAGGCACAGCAGAGACCCTTCCAGGACAGCTCCTGGATGTCTTGGTCCATTAGTTTTGCTTCCCTGGGTATTTTTAAAGTAACTAATATGTTCCATACAGTGGTACAGTTGTGAGAAAGGATGTCTCACAGCTGTGCAGGGATGCTCTTCCTTATGTTTTATTATGGAACTTGAATTCATCAATTTTTCACATCACATAAAAGACAGTAATTTAATGACAATTGAATGTGACAAGGAAAAAAAAAAAAACTTCACACTTCACAACTCCAACATGACGTAACTCTAAAATGAACACCATATTAACAGCTTCAGATTGAGTTACATTCAGGGGAAAAAAACACTAGACGGGATAAGAAAGATAACCAAAATAGACACAACCCATAATAACAGAGGGTATAATGCTAAAAGAAATTTTGCAAAGAACCCTAATGCTGGCTTTCAGGTAACCACCCAATCGCAGACAATTTTTTTAGCAGGAAAACTTCATTCTAATTACAGAGATGCAAATAAAAAAAAAAGCCTTGCAACAACAAATGCTACAAACTGTGCAACCAAATCAATTAATTAAAAAAAGTGTCACACATGTAAAGGGTACCTTCAATTTTAAAGGATCATACAAATGTACCTCCAGTAACTTTGTGTACTTCATTCAATGCAAAAATGCAACCAAGGATCTTACACTGGCAGATCAGGACAGAAGAAAAAATAGTAGGAACTCACAAAAACACACCAAAAACTAACATAAGAAAGAACATTACTGTACACCTGTGGGACATTATTTCTAACACACACACCACTGTATGGAAAAAAAGATTGTTTTAGTTCACTAAAGGAAACTTTACAAATATTTCAAAAGTTTTCCTTTAGAGAGTAAGAATGTTAGGTTTGACACAAAACAATGGACTAAATGTTGATCTACATTTTCTAAATCACTATCCCAACAGTTTTATGACCACTCATCTCTGACTCTCCTTCCATTTCCATAGTCCACTCCTATCCTTATTTTACCAACCATCCCAGTACAATTATCATTTGCGGTGTGTTTGTGGGTTTGTTTTTTTTTCTCTCAAGAGATCCTACTTAACATTTTGCTAAAACTTGGTGTATCAAATACTGTTTGGGCCTTAAAAAGAAGGGGGTACACCCCAAAGGCTTGTCCTGAAAATTTCAATGCATTTTGTACAGTTCTCAATTCAATTTAGTGCTGTAATTTTTTTGTTTGATAGAGTACCCCTTAAGTGGAGTTGCAGCTACTGATTGGGAAAAGATTAAAAAACAAACAAAAAAAAAACCTGTGCCTCTCATCTTACTTGGTTTTACTAGATTTTATGAATACCTTCTGTTATTTGAGCTCATTTGCAGGGACTGTTGAGGAAAGACCTAGCCTATGCATTCACTGGCATTAGCCTGGATATGAGTGGACCAGACGTATGTGCGTCCTTGATCAGCATATTGTCAGCACTGCACCCACTACCTTTAGAGAGAGGATGCAAAGCCTGCACATGTGGACCTCAGAGTTGCAGCCACAAGTGACAGATGCAGCTACGTCAAAGGACATCTTTGCAGTAATGATGGCATACCAAATAAAATCAATGTGTGCAGTCATTGCACATTGGCCCACTCCCCCTTGGGTCTGTGGGCACTGCACACACTGTACATGTTAAGGACACACCAGTGAGAGCACTGCAGTACTTTTTAACATCACCTGCAGCAGTAACTTTACATTGAGGCTACATTCACATGGGCAACTAGGGCCAGTGTGAATTGTAGCAGCAGTTTCTTCTGCATCTGCAAGTGCCTCTCAATGGGTAGGTGCGGCCACCAGCCCCATTCACTATGATGACGGGTTTCCTGGTGGCTGTAACTATTGACCACACTCTGCAGGGCTAGCAATTACCTGTGGTGATGGCTGCTGGACACACTTTGTGCCTTAAGGATACAGATTACACCTTGCTACAGCTGAACAGTAACATTTTGTAATTTTGGACTGGTTATGGTCACCACTAGATGGAATTGCATTATCATGGTCTAAAATAAATAGCCAATATGACAAACTGTGGGGGACAAGTTCCCAAATGAACCTCACAACTGTTCATTCTATGTTGCCAGGCTCCTATAGACAAATCAAGAAAAGCTTTATTCAACATTTCCTTACAGCAGCCTGCTCAGTTATTGCTAGACATTGGAGGCAAATGTCTCTGCCCCTCATTGCCTAATTGGGCTTGTGAAATGGACAGGAGCAAACATCTGGAATGCATGATAGCCCAGGAGGATGACAAGACTGACTCCCAAAAATTGATGGACAGTCTGGTCCCATTTTAGGTTTTCCTCCAATTTTGAAACCCTTGAAGCGGATCCTTTTGAGGTCTCTCAGGTTTAGATATAATCTTCCCTTCCCTCCTTCCTCCCTTTGTGCACCCCCCCCCTTTTTTTCTCTTTTCTTTCGATTTGACAATGTATATTAAGTTACCATATGTCCGGTGCCCCGGATTGTCTCGTTATGTCTTTTCTGATAACACCAGTCCGTTTTTCTGTGTTTTTTCACATATTGTAAGATTAAGGAATTAACAATATCAACAAATGCTTTGCTATTTTTACTCAGCCTTAATGACCTTTACTATGACATGTCTTTGTGTAGATTCTTTCTAGGTCATTTGACCTGATCAATATTTCTGTATACTTCATGGCAGTTAACATGTACTCTTATGGTTAGTCTCTGTTCTGTTGAAAACCGAATAAACCAGTTTAAAACATAAACAGCCAATTGTCCAGAATCCATGGGGAGAGGAGGTCCTATACTAGAATGTATTTCCTAAAGTGGACACAGCCTGGATGTTATTTCTAGTATATATTCCTAAACTTGTTTGCTTTGATATTTTAACAGGTATTATAAATATGTAGCTGCCTGTCACACTGGGAATAGAGTAATTTCCATTTAAATATATGCATATTATACTTTCGAAAACAAAGTCGCCTTTTCTTTTCCTCATTACTTCTCAATGTGTACTGAGTTTACACTTGTACAAATCAATTTCCTTTATTTGGTGACAAACCTATAAATGATATGCGGTGTACAACTCCCACAGTTCAATTACTTCTTTCCAGTAATGTCAGACAGCCATCAGTATTTTGGACTTGCTATGCAAATCAAACATGACATCAAGTTTCCCTGCTAGTATATAAATAAAGTACTAGATCATATATTTGCACAAGAGCATAGCTACAGCTTCTGCAGCTTAAATCAAAAATAGAAAAAAAAGAAAAACAAGTGTTTATTGGAAAAAGTATATTTGTATTTTGCGATTCATAAAAGGGCAAACAGTAAGGTCGCTGTGAAAGATTTACATCAATCTGTCAGAAGTGATGACATTTACCACCCTGGTTACCAATAAAATAACTTGATGCACAATAAAAATCAGTATTCATGGAAAAGGTGGACTTGTGACTTAATCCTTAACATTTTACAGAAGCCGCAAACACAAAAACACAAAACAGTGTCAGTGTGATTTTCAGGGGTAGATCTCATGCCGGAGAAAAGAACTCAGAATTTCTTCCATTCCATATCATCTGGAGGATTCACATCAACTTTCCTTTTACCCACATCTGACCAGTTTGTGCTAAGGACTGTGCCACCAGACTCCATCTGTAAGACAGATATTGAGAAATATTGTCAGCAAACATGGAAAAGCTGATAAAACATGAAGGTCACTTGTACATTATGGCCCATTTCGTAAGATGAGTGGGTAAGAGTCATACATTTCATGAAGTTTTGCGGTTTGTGTCTTTACTGGCATATTTCCCCTCACTTCCTGTCCTGCTGAAAACAGGACAGGAGATGAGAGGGTGCTGATGTGATTGAGGAGCCAGAGCATTAGAAAACCAAGCAGATGTTCTAAGCTCTCCCCACTTTACAATATACATGTACGGGTCTCTGTCACAACAGAGGTACTGCATCACTTCCCGCATTGTGACTGGACATCCCAGGGGATGTGAGTTTAGGTTATATCTCTGCAATGAGTTAAAAGCAAGAAGAGACAGCCATGGTTGGTTCCTTGAGACATAAAGATGTTAAAAAGGCCCATAGAACATACCAAGGTTTGCAGAAATGATCAAAATACAATTGTGTCAAGAAAGTGGCAGGTACAGACTGAATTCACAGTGGTAACAATGGTGTACTATTTTTCAAGGATTTTTTTTTTTTTTGTAAAATTATAACAAATTGTATTGCTTTTGTTTTTAATCGTTTCGGTTCTACTCACTGCACTACAGAACTTCTCAGCCATGAGCCTGTCAGTCTAACAGACACAGTAGGTAGGGGGACCACAATGAGAAAGCGATGTCCAATATGGATACTCTACCTAACTGCTAGGATCGGTCAGATTCATGCACTGGGTCCCTGACAAGTACAAGAATCTGGCTAAAGCATTTAAAAATTTTAGTGCAGCAACCCGACAGAAGTAAGTACTGTATATGAAAACCTCTCTCAGGAGATCATTTATGTAAGGCAGTGAGGGTAAATGTAAAAACAGACTTGGCATCAGTTTTATTTCAGGTATTTATATAGCGCTATCAATTTAAGCAGCGCTTTATGCATATATATTGTACGTTCATATCAGTCCCTACACTCAAGGAACTTACGATCTAGGGTTTACAACTCCCATTCATACATATACAGTATCTCACAGAAGTGAGTACACCCCTCACATTTTTGTAAATATTTTATTCTATCTTTTCATGTGACAACACTGAAGAAATGACACTTTGCTACAATGTAAAGTAGTGAGTGTACAGCTTGTATAACAGTGTAAATTTGCTGTCCCCTCAAAATAACTCAACACACAGCCATTAATGTCTAAACCGCTGGCAGCAAAAGTGAGTGAAAATGTCTAAATTGGGCCCAAAGTGTCAATATTTTGTGTGGCCACCATTATTTTCCCAGCACTGCCTTAACCGTCTTGGGCATGGAGTTCACCAGAGCTTCATAGGTTGCCACTGGAGTCCTCTTCCACTCTGCATGACGACATCACGGAGCTGGTGGATGTTAGAGTCCTTGTGCTCCTCCACCTTCCGTTTGAGAATGCCCCATAGATGCTCAATAGGGTTTAGGTCTGCAGACATGCTTGGCCAGTCCATCACCTTTACCCTCAGCTTCTTTAGCAAAGCAGTGGTCGTCTTGGAGGTGTGTTTGGGGTTCTTATGTTGGAATACTGTCCTGCTGCCCAGTCTCCGAAGGGAGGGTATCATGGTCTGCTTCAGTATGTCACAGTACATGTTGGCATTCATGGTTCCCTCAATGAACTGTAGCTCCCCAGTGCCAGCAGCACTCATACAGCCCCAGACCATGACACTCCCACCACCATGCTTGGCTGTAGGCAAGACACGCTTGTCTTTGTACTCTTCACCTGGTTGCCGCCACACACGCTTGACACCATCTGAACTAAAGTTTATCTTGGTCTCATCAGACCACAGGACATTGTTCCAGTAATCCAAGTCCTTAGTCTGCTTGTCTTCAGCAAACTGTTTGTGGGCTTTCTTGTGCATCGTCTTTAGAAGAGGCTTCCTTCTGGGACGACAGCCATGCAGACCAATTTGATGCAGTGTGCGGCGTATGGTCTGAGCACTGACAGGCTGACCCCCCACCCCTTCAACCTCTGCAGCAATGCTGGCAGCACTCATACGTCTATTTCCCAAAGACAACTTCTGGATATGATGCTGAGCATTTGCACTCAACTTCTTTGTCAACCATGGCAAGGCCTGTTCCGAGTGGAACCTGTCCTGTTAAACCGCTGTATGGTCTAAGCCACCGTGCTGCAGCTCAGTTTCAGGGTCTTGGCAATATTCTTATAGCCTAGGCCATCTTTATGTAGAGCAACAATTTTTTTTTTTCAGATCCTCAGAGTTCTTTGCCATGTTGAACTTCCAGTGACCAGTATAAAAGAGAGTGAGAGCGATAACACCAAATTTAACACACCTGCTCCCCATTCACACCTGAGACCTTGTAACACTAATGAGTGACATGACAACGGGGAGGTAAAATGGCCAATTGTGCCCAATTTGGACATTTTCACTTAGGGCTGTACTCACTTTTGTTTTGAGGGGACAGCAAATTTACATGTTATACAAACTGTACACTCACTGCTTTACATTGTAGCAAAGTGTAATTTCTTCAGTGTTGTCACATGAAAAGATAGAATAAAAATATTTACAAAAATGTGAGGAGTGTATTCACTTCTGTGAGATACTGTACATACTAGGGCCAATTTAGACAGGAGCCAATTAACCTAGCAGCATGTCTTTGAAATGAGGGAGGAAACCAGAATACCCAGGGAAACTCACGCAAGCACATGCAAATCTCAAGGCAGGTAGTGTCATGGTTTTATACAATATGGTTAAATAAAATATTCTCTGACTGATCCAACAATTTCCTGTCATGCCACTTGAATAGCAGCAAAACATTTTTTCTCAGCAAGTTCAAAATAGCAATTAAAACAAGGCTGGCTTATGTATCAATAATTGCATTACCAGGCAAGCAACGCGTGCATTGTGAATAATCTTTGCACTTTACTCAAAAGGTGCTTTTTTTTCTCGTACTAAATTTCAGATATCTAATTTCACACTGCTAAAATGGAAGTTCTATAAAATATTATTAGTCACATTTTTAAATAGGGCTAGCAGGATTTTATTGCACAAAAAGATTTTAATTTTCTTTCCTGCATCAGTCATTTTTCAATCCTGAAGCTGATGCAGTTGCAGTCCTGGGAAAAACAGTATTTCAAGAAAAAAAATTCAAATCAATCCTTTTTTGAGCGCGACACAATTTTATATTATTTTGTTTTTAATGAAATAGATTGCTACCAATGAACTTGGCAATAAAGAAGAGAAATTAAACAGAAGGGAGACCATAAAAATAAATCCATATATTCACAACCGATATAGTAAACCGAACGCTGGTAAGTTTTGTGGGGAAAAGTTTTGTGGGGACACATGAACAAGTAGCAATGAATGTAAATAGGGCAGAGGTCACTATAGTTCAAAAAAACCTTCCATGTAGTCTTCACCTTTAGAGTAAGACTTATATTGGCCCCAATGGATTTAGTGGTAAGTGGGTTGAAGAACCACTTAAATAAGTATTTATCACTTCTAGTCCTCAATTACCTCAAGCCAAGCACTTGGGGGATGTGGGATCAGCTACGATAGATGCTGATCCAGTATTAAAAAGGTACAAATTTATTTAGAAAAATGCAGTACTGTGCATAAGTTTTAGGCACTTGTGAAAAAGTTCATAAATAATGGAATTAATAGTTATTTTTCATCAAACAACAAAGGTTGTCCCAATTGCTTCTCTTTTCCTTCATATAACCCCAGAGAGACTCAGTTGTGCAGAGATCAGGGCTCCGTGGGGCCACACAATCTCTTTCAGGACACCTTGTTTTTCATTTTGATGAGGAAATTCCTTTGACTTTATCCTCTATGTCTGGGGTCATTGTCCTCTTGCAGAATGAATTTGGAACCAACCTGCTGCCTTTTACTGTATATTTTTTTTTCCATTGACGACTAAAACTTTTGTGCAGTACTGTATATTTCCACATGAAGAGAAAACCGCAGCAAAATGGTTCAGATATATTATAAAGTTTGTCTAGTGACAAAAACTTTTTTTTTTTGTTTACAGTGCCTTTAAATAGTTTGTCCCAAACAAACTTTCTTTTGCTAACAGAAGCACTTGCTGGGAGCTTTAGCTATATACAGTGCTGAGTTCTGGCAGCCGCTGTGCATTGCTCAGCTATTCACAGGAAGCTATATATTCTTTGAATAAATACAAATGTTTCTCAGATTGCCTGAAGCGGATGACATCACAATCTCAGACTCAGCCCATCAGTGGAAGCTTTGCATTTATTCATAAATTATAAAGTTTCTGTGAATGGCTAGGCAGGGCTCAACTTGATTTTGATTCAAAATGGGGACAGCTTGGGCCAGATTAACTTTTTAAAGGCACAGTAAACAGGCCCTTGAGCTTTAAGTTTCAGATAGACTAGTTAGAGGGTTAGAACCCCCCGTACGATTTATATAGACTGTGTCCCCATTAGGTAGATTCATTCTGTTGTTCTGATGACCAGTTGCTGGGACTGAATATGAGGGAAACATCAAGTCATGTTATGACCGTAACAAGAATAGAGAGTAAATCATCCAATGAGGACACTTTTTATGGTGACAAATGTCATAGAGGGTTATTCCTTTTACTTTGGAGAGATTTCCTTTTACTTCCTTTTGTGTACACATCTGAAAGCGTCCACTTTAAAATGAAAGAAAAATGGTTCTGGCTTAAGGTATAATTTTAAGGAAACCTGTACCAACAGAAATACAAAGACTTCAATTGATAAGATTTGCTCATAGAAAATGGTGCACGGCTACACTTTTCCAGAGAGCAACAGTCCATATACAAAACAGCCAAGACTCTTGGCCCCAAACCTGCTAAGAAAAAAAACTTTATTCATACAAGTAACATGATTAAAGTAATCTCGCTGACATGCTTTGACCAATCCT